ACTATTGTCCAGCAGCACCCCACTTCGACCCATGGCCTCCCAGCCCCTGGGGACTTCTTGGCGGGTACCTGGTCTGGCTCCCCCCGCCCCCTCCCAGCATAGGGAAGAATGTGTTGCTGTCATCCTATCCTCCCTCCCCGACCCTAGCCCAGTGCAGAATTGGATTAAGAACAAAAATACGAGCTGTGTTTGTTTTAATCAGCTTCAAGACATGGGGGCTTCTAAAGGGAAGGAGAGCAGGCCGGAGGCGGCCCGGGGCAGGCAGGCCGGGCGGTGATGCCATCCTGGGGTCAGGAGCACACAGAGCAGTGAGTGCATCCGCGGGTCAGATCCCGGGCCAGATACGGGCTGAGAGAGGAGGACCTGGGGGCCAAGGGCTGGGGCTCAGGGAGGAGGAAAAGGATGGCGGGAGGGAGGGGAGACACAGGTTTCCCCCACACACACACACCCCAGAGTGCTGGAGTGAGGCGGGAGGGGAGGGGAGGTGGGAGGCCCAGGGAGCCCCTGTGGAGAAGAGCAGCAGGGAGTAATTTTTTCCAGAGGAGGGGCTTCCTCGGGGTCTCTGGAATGAGGGATGATGGGAAGGAGTTGAGGGAGGGTCGACGATGATCTCCACCACCCATTGCAGGAAGAACCCCTAGCAGGGGCTGCCACAGCGCCCGAGCAATGGTGTCTGGACTTGAGCTTCGTGCCCAGATGTGCCAGAGCTGGGGGGACACAGGTGCTCACGTTAAGTCAAACATGTGGAATCCAGTGGAAAATGGGAGGTGTCAGGGCCAGATTGAGGGAACCTGCCTGATCCCTGGGCAGATGTCAGATTTGATGAAGAACGGGAGTCTGCAAGGTGTGGAGGAAGGACTCCGAGGTGGGAGCCAGGAACCTGGGTGCTCTGGGACCCTGGGGCATTTAAGGAGAAGCCCCTGTGGCCATACAAACCTACACTTGCTCTATGAGTGTCTGTGCTCACATTAGCTCTGTGAGCCAAAAAAAGGGGCTCAGAGAGGTTCAGGAACTGGTCCAAGGTCACACAGCCAATGAGAGAAGAAGCTGGTACAGTTACCTAAAGCTCAGGATACTAGGCCAGTGCTCCAACCCCTGTGGGTTGAACAGCCTCAACTAGTTCTCAAGTCAAAGCATCCAGATGGAAACGATGATGTTAGACAGCTGAGGGCAGAGCTCCCAGAGGTCCTTCCCAGAACCTCCTGCTCCCCAGCCACCAGGCACTGGGAGAAGGGCCTGGATGGGCTCTGCCCACACTCCAATCGGACTCTGGTGCTTTGGGCCACCCTTGCCTGGAGGTACCTGTGAGGGGGCGGCAGGAGTCTGGGCCAGCCCTGAGACCAGAGCACGGGCTCCCTGGGACAGATCTGGGTCTTCTCATCCAGGTCCACAGAAAGGTTCTGGTCCATGACGATGCTGTTACCAGTTGGAGGTGAAGGAGAAAAAACCAATAGTGAATTCTTTATATGGTTACATTTAGTGAGCTTCTAAATTTGAAATGATACCTTTTTCTGATTTAAAATGTTCTTTCTTTCTTGTTACAAAACATAATGAAAGCAGGACTTCTAGAAAGTCTATTCTTGGCAAAATAAAAATTGTCAAACCTTTTCCTCCCTTCAGTTAAAAGCAATTTTTAATGGGTCCATAAAAATCCCCAAGTTTGGGAACAACTGTATATTATTTATTTGTGTTTTTTTACAGATTTATTTATTTATTTGAGAAAGAGAGTGCCGGCGTGCATGTGTGGGGTGGCGGTGTGGGGGGCAGAGAGAAACTAACTCTAGGCAGGCTCCACACGCAGCACAGAGCCCGACGTGGGTCTTGATCTCACAACCCTGAGATCATCTGAGCGGAAACCAAGAGTCGGGCGCTTAACCGACTGTGCCTCCCAGGCACCTCTATTCTTTATTTGGAGACATTCTTACCTAGCCTGAGACACAGTCTAGAGCTCTGCACGCTACAAGTGCTTAATAAATGCAGATCACAGGAATTCTCACGGTCCAGGTCAGCAGGGACATGGATGGGAGGCTTGGGGTGGCTGCGCAGGCCTGAGCAAACTGCTGCATTTCCGCCTCAGTCTCCTCTTCTGCAGAGGAGGAGGCAGGAGCATTCGGTGACCCTGAGATGGATTTCAGTGGCAACATCCCGCAGCTCAGGGGAGGGCAACTCTGAGTTCTTGGCACGTAGATGAGGCCCGTCTCAAGCATGGAGCTCGCAGCCGTGCCCCAGGCCGAAGACTTAAGGGGGAAGACGGAAGGATGGTCTTGTCCAGCTGGCCCACGTGAGAGAATTTCTAGCATCAGCAGCGGAGGGTCTGCCAGCCGCAAGAAAACAGTATCACCAACAGCAGCCAGGACTCAGGCCCAGATGAAACGATGGCCCCTTGCCCACTGTCCCGAGCCTCTGGATGCATCTCCCAACCCCTGCAGGCTGGGACCAGTCTCAGAGCCTCCCCTCCACCATGATCACGCCACCCTCTGTAGGTCAAGTCCATTGGATCCAGTGCCGCTTAGCCCCTACTCTGATGCCAGGTGTGGGGGGCGCATGTGTTATCCAGGAAAACGGTGCACACAGTCGTGATGCATCATTTCATGTTCATGCGGGTCTTGGTCAAGCAACAGTAGTCAAGCTTGTTAAGAGGCAGTTGGACGAAACAAAATATGACCAGTCTCTACCCTCACAGACCAGCTTCTGGAAAACACCCCTACTGACCTGAAGAGAATCCAGAGGAGAGAGGAAACCCATTCCGCCCCCAGGGAGCATTCTGGCTAACGGAGAAGGTGGGTGCTCTGCACAGACCCAGCAGTAAGGTAAACCCAGAAGCAGGAGGTGTGGACTGCTGGCCAGCCATCGAAAGGGCCTGGACGAAGATGTCTCTGTGAGCTCTGGAGCTAGGTTAGAACGCCGAGGGAAAGGGCCGAGGCCATTCCACTCCTCTCTGAAGCGGGGCCCTCAGCCACTGCGGGAGGCAGGGCTTGGCCTGTCTGGAGCAGACACTGTCTCCGGGGTGTGGGTGACGTTTCCCAGCTTTGGTCTGGTTGTGACGCAGGAAAGAGGCAAGTTTGCCAGGATCCTGGGGCGCAGGGGGAGAGGGCACTACGGCCTCCACAAAGTGTGGAAGGGACAGGGCAGCTGTGGGGGAGGGTGGGGGCGGCTCTCCTACCCCCTCAGGCAGCTCAGCTCTGCACAGTCTCAGCCCCATTCCCCCGATACCAGGGGACACCCGCTGCTGACACCATGGCATTGGGTTTCCCCTGGGCTGGCTCAGGCTACTGTCACCAGGCCTGCCAGGAAATTGCTGCTGACACTCGGGGAAGGGCCCAGGGAAGGGCCCAGGAGGTGGGAGGCCAGGATCGTGCGGTCGGTGAGTTCCGAACAAGCAGCAGACAGGCTGGAGCAGGGGCAGACCATTGTGGCTCTGAGAGGACTGTAGCCACAGAGCTGGGCCCTGCATCTCCATCTTGGTCCCGCTCCTCTTGCGCTCTCGCCAGGAGGCTGGGAGCCTTGGAGCTTGGGGCCAGCCTGGCTGCGTGGGGTGAGAATGGAGGGGAAGGGCAGCACTGTCCAAGGTCACAGGACCCCCTCCATTTCCCCACCCCCAAGGTTGTACAAACTGGCGCCTTAGCATCCCTCCGCCGCTCCACCCTCACCAGGCCACGTGCCCCTGCTTCACAGGGTCCCCTACCAGGTTTAATCTGGAGAGGAATCACATCCCCCTTCTCATGGGCTGTCCCCTGTCCCGCCCTGTCCCACTGGGTCCCAGACAGCCTGCTCTTCATCCCCCCGCCCCGTGCCATCCCTTTCTCTCTCCCTCTCTCCCTCCCCTGCCACCTCTCTATTCTCTGCTGTATTTAGTAAGATAAAAACATGCGCTGGCTCCCAGGTGCTCCTAAGTATTTCAAAAAGTTGGAGAGAAACTGGGGAGGGCTGGGGGTGAGTGGCAGGAGGGATCCTCGAACTGGGAATTGAGATCCTCCAACTCTTACTGCCTCCGGAGGTTCTCCACTAGAAAGTGTGTGGTTACATGCTGGGGATGTTGGGGATGGAATGACCAGGGACACACAGCACTCTGCACTCTCAAGGGTAATACTTATAGGAGGCTGGGCTCAATCCCCACCTGCAAAGAAACATCCGTGGACTTCTCTCCCCTGTCCCACGGCTCACCATCCCCCATCGCAGATGAAAGCCCTCCGTCCGGGACTGTGACCATCCCCCAGAGCTTTGATCCTGGACTATCACCCTAGCTGCAGCCCCAGGCAGGAGGACCCAAAGGAGAAGCAGGCCCAGGGAAGTGCGGGAAGGGGCAGGCCCATCGGAGGAAGCCCCCCAGGGTGCCAGGGTAAGCGTGGGGATGGCGAGCATCCACTGTGAGTACAGGGTAGGGGCGGTGGGAGTCCAGCCAGGGACCCCCAGGAGGCAATGAACAGTAGATGGTACCATGCTAGCAGCCTGGGCTGTCGGTCTCATGGCCCCCGATAACGCAGGCCGCTCTCCGGGAAACCCACAAGGGCGGGAATGGACCATTTACTCAGATGACCCATCCTCGTCCGCGTGCACCTGTCATGGCCGTGACACTGACGAACGTGCAAAGGCCCCCAAAGGCCCACTTCTGCCTCAGTCTAGGACACCCCTTCAGAATGGGGTGGGACGGGGGGGGGCTCTAACTTGCTGGGTCCCAAACTGGGTATTAATAGACTGTCAAATCATAATTTAATGTTCTTACTTTTCATTTAATCACAAAAGAAAGGTATTTTAACACTTGTTTTGAAAGAAGTGGAGAGGATAGAATAAAAGACCATCCTTCCCAATATCAATTAGTGATAAAGATCCAGCGAGGGGCAGCTTTGGGGGCAAGTGACTGAAAGGGGCACCAGGAGGCCTGGGAGGCACTGGTCAGATGCGAGCCCCGGACTGGGCGGCCGTCACGGAGATACGGTGCACAGAGAAACGTACCGAGCCGTACATCTGGGAGGAGGGCACTGATGCGCCTAAGTTACACCTACATGGAAAAAGTCAAGTAAATGAGGCACAAGTCAGACATTGAGCTCACAGAAGCTCATGCACTTGGGGCCACTCTTCCAAACTCAAATTCCAGCTCTACCCCTTGGTATCTGTGTGACTTTGAACCAAGTGCCTCACCTCCCTGTTCCTCAGTCTCCTCATCTCAGAAATGGGGATAATGACACTTAGCTCAAACAGCCTGTGAGGCGCTCAGGAGTCAATGCATGTGAAGCCAGCCTGCACGTAGCTCCAAAGTCAGTGGTGTTTGCTGTTCTTCCAAGAAACTGCAGCTGCCAACTCTGAACTGAAACATAAATGAGATGAAACAACTTCAAATTAAGAAAACGTAACGTGACATTTTACAGGATCAATCACATTGTACGATACTGCTTTCTTCTACAAGCTTATTAGAGGCTCTATATATGGTTACTCATTTATTATTCAACCAATATTTACCGAACGCCACCAGCTTCAGAGACTGTTCCAGACAGTGGGAATAAAGCAGTGAATTAGACAAAGTCTCCATCCTCATGAATTTACATTCTCCTGTGGGAGACAGTCAGTAAACTAAATAAGCAAAAAAATATATAATACAATGTCAACAGAGAACACCAATCAGGAGAAACACCAACAGATCTACATGTAGACGTACCATGTTCAAACTGCAGAAAAATCAACACAAAGAACACATCTTGAAAGAAGCCAGAAGGAAAAAAAGGTTTCACCTGTAAAAATGGATAAGAACTACATCAGACTTTCTTTAGACACCGTGCAAGCAGGATTAAAGTGGAATGAAATGTTTAAAGTGTTGAAAAAAAAATATGTCCCAATCTAGAATTCCGGATCCAGTGAAATTATCCTTCCAAAGGAAAAGAGAAATGAAGAGGGTCTCAGACAACCAATGTCAATAGCAATAAGTGCTGTGAGGAAAAATAAAGCAGGGTGGGGGTGCCTGGCTGGCTCAGTCGGGAGAGCATCTGACACTTGATCTCAGGGTCATGAGTTCGAGGCCCACATTGGACGTAGAGATGACTTAAAACAATAATAAAGAAAGCAGGGTGAAGGGTTAGAGAATGGGGGGGGAGGCACTCTCTCAGGGTGGTCAAGAGACCTCTCTAAGGGGGTGCCATTTCTGTGGAGACCTGAATGAAGTGAAGGATGGAAGCAGGAGCTGTGTGCGGATCAGGGAGAGAGAGCCACTGGCAGAGGGGACAGCAGGGGCAATGGCCCTGAGGTGGGAGGGTGGGCATGTTGGGGCAACAGAAAGAAGTCATCATGGCTGGAGCACAACGAGCCCAGGGCAGAGGCTGTGAGGTGAGGAAGGAAAGGCACAGGGCCCGAGTCATGGAAGGACTTTGAACTGAGAGGTGATACAATCAAGATGTATGTCTTCAAACCCCACCCTTGGCTCTGGTGTGTGGAGAACGGAGAAGAGCTGCAAGGCATCGTCCAGGCCAGAGATGGTGGGGCGTGGACCGGGACAGCAGTAGAAAGGAGGGGGAGTCACTGGATTCTGGATATGTTTGGAAGGTGGAGCCAATAGAACAATGGATGGATTTGAAATGGGATGCGAGGAAGAGAAAGGGGCCAAGTGGATATTCTGGCCTGAGCAACTAGAGAGCCGCAGTTGAGAGCAGCCTGCAGCCGAGATGGGGGACCTGGGACAGAAGCAGGTCTGTGGCTGGGTTGGGGCGGGGGGCGGGGGGCAATCAAGGTTCTCCTTGGCCATGTTGAGTCTGAGACGCCTGTGAGGCCTGCAAGTGGACAGGACAACTGGACAGCTAGACATACCAGTCTAGGCCTCAGGGGAGTAGGCAGAGCTGAAAATATCGTTCGGGAATTGTCATCAGCAGGAAGTGTAGCTCAAATGCCCTGCTTGTTCTCATGCTTGGGGCTTTCTCATCCTCATTATGGAAAATTCCCCATTGCTCTGCTAAGCAAAGTGGAAACAGTCTTTCTAGGGTTGTCTCATTCAAGTTGGAACATTCCAGGCAATGTCCGAGGAGGCGACACCAGCGCCCCTTGTCTCCAGCAACTCTGCCGGTCCTCCTCCTGTGGCCCGAAGAGCATGGCTCTGCCGAGCAGGTGTCTGCGACGTGGGGCTCCTGGGAAGATGTGGTTGGAATGAGCGGAGAGGGATGCTTCGGTTCCTGCAGGGCAGGCCCACTCGGAGCCCCTGGGCGGAACCTGCAATAATCTTCGATGTGCCCAGAAGAGTGAGAAAATCAGTCCTCTCCAATTCCCTTTCATTTCTGATTACAATGTGTCCTTTAAATAACAGGGGCATCTAACACTGGTCACTAACAATGTGGCCAATGGGAGAGAGAGCCCTTGCTAACATTCCTGTTGTAGGAAAGAAAGCAAACCTTTGGACTCAGAACCTTCTACGGGCAACTCTAGCTACAGTGAATCACACTGCTATGCTTTTGTGTTATTTATCTTTATGGCCACTTCCTGTTTATGACAAGTGCTACTATTGTCCCATTGGTGATAAGGATATAAAATTTCCTTTTAAAAGATATCTACGTGTCTGCATATGCATATGCATGCACGTGTGTGTTGTGAGTTCCCGTAAAGAAAACCGTTAATAGTACAAATGTGGCCCAAATCATGAAGGTGCTACTTCCATGACTAAAGTCTGAAAAAAACATGGCTCTCAAAGATGCAGGAATGAGACGGGGGCGCCTGGGTGGCTCAGTTGGTTAAGCGACTGCCTTCAGCTCAGGTCATGATCCTGGAGTCCCGGGATCGAGTCCCGCATCGGGCTCCCTGCTCAGCAGGGAGTCTGCTTCTCCCTCTCCCACTCCCCCCTCTTGTGCTCTTTCTCTCTCTCACTCTCTCTCTCAAATAAATAAAAAAAAAAAAAACATTTCATTAAAAAAAAAAAAAAAAAGATGCAGGAATGAGAATAAGAGCCTGGAGCCTCATGTTCATATACAGAGGTTGTAATCCCCCAAGCCGCCCCAAGATCGAGGGTGGGAACATTCTCATTTCCCTCCATAGCCCCGGCGGGCAGTACATCGATAAGACTCCCTCTTCCGTGTTGTGTTTGCCACCACCGGGTTTCACCCAAGGGGAAAAGTCTCTGAACATACAATTCTCACCATCTCAAGGCCATAAAATCGATGTTGCTACCGATGATAGCTCTCCAAGTGCTGCAAATTCAGGAAATGCCCTTTGAATCAGCAAAGCTGGGGTGCCTGGGTGGCTCAGTCTTTAAGCGTCTGCCTTCGGCTCAGGTCATGATCCCAGCGTCCTGAGATCGAGCCCTGTGTTAGGCTCCCTGCTCAGCGGGGAGTCTGCTTCTCCCTCTGCCCCGCTCTGCCTCTTCCCCTGCTCATGCTCTCTCTCTCTCTCTCTCTCTCAAATAAACAAAATCTTAAAAAAACTTTAAAAATGAATCAGCAAAGCTTAGGACGCGCCCTTTAAGTATGAGCTGCATCTGGTCACACTTCTAACTCATGGAGACAGATGTTCTGGACAATAACATCCGTAAATGGGGCGAAATTCATAAGTGGGTCTGGGCATGACTCGGGGTCTTCAGCAGAGCCTGGCCCGGGCCAGACCTAAGAGGTCTCTGTGTATCGGAGGGTCCACACACAGCTGCCTGCCGAATCAGAGGACTGCAACTGTGTGGGGTCCACAGACCCAGGCAGAGAACCAGCTCAGAATGTGGATAGAAGATACTCAGAAGCCAGTCCTGCTGACCTCCTGGGACCCTGTAGAAGCTGCCACTCCCCTTCCCTGGAGCCCTTTGGGCCCAGCGATATTATCCCATAAGTAGGAAGTGTGGGTCCTGGGTTCTCAGCACCTCCAGCTGCGGCTGGGCTGAAGGAGGCACAGCTGTCTGGCCTGAGGCTGTGTCTCTTGTGAAGGAGAAACATCCGGCCAATTCCATCAAGAATGTCAGTCACAGTGCAGGGGAGGAATCGGTCAGTTCAGCCGTCCTGTGTGCAGCACTTGCATTCGGGGAGCTGGCGCCTGGACCGCCCTCGGCCGGACGGGGAGAGGCCCATCTCCCGTGGACTGAGGCCGGGTCCCAAAGGTCCGCTCCCCCATAGAGCCTAGGGCTGGTGGCCCGCAGCCTGGGGGCGGCACAGGGACTCTGGGACGGGACCCAGGATGTGGAGACTCGAAGGCTCAGGGGGGAAAGATATGCAAAGGTGAAAGGGCAAACCTGTTTCCAGTCTCCTTATCAGGAACAGCCGAGTGAAAGGGAAGCGGGCCGCCCTGGAGGTCAGGCTGGGGGCCATTGTGGGGGCAGGGCCCGGCCCAGGAGACCTGAGAGGAGACCTGCTGGGTGGGGGAGAGAGAGAGAGAAAGGGAGGATGGAGGGAGGACCAGGGAGGAACCAACCGCAAGGCCCTTCGCCAAGGGGAGGAGCCGCTAGGGTGGCCAAGCATCCAGGTCTGCCTTCCTGCGATACAGGGCTTCCATGTTGCAGACCAGATGGTTGGTCACCCCGGCAGCAGCCCCAGCTAGGGGACTGTCAGAGTCCCCCACACTGCACACCGTCCCGGGTTCACCCCACCACCTTGTCTGAATGCCTTCTTACTCCCCCATCCAATGCTAAGGAGTGCCTACTCCACGCTAGGCCTGCTGCCAGGCACTGCAGGTTCGGCCCTGAAAGGACAGACTCGCCCCCTGCCGTCCAGAACTTGTCCATTGCGCACCTCTCAGAGCCCAGGCAGAAGGCCCACTCCCCACCCCACCACCTGCTCAGCCGGCGCAACACACGGGACTTCCAGGGCGGGCATGTCTCTGGGAGACATCTTTTCTGTCTACCCCACCAAACCCCCCGGGAGGTGGGAGGGGGACTGCTTCTAGCTCATGGCTCTGCCTCCCACTGTGCCCAGCATAGGCTCCTATGCAGGACAGGTGGTTTGGATTGAGGGGCTAAGGTACTGAGGACGGCTGGAAGGGGGACACCTCAGCAATCTGAACGCCCACAGCCCATCATGCACGCCACCCCACCAGCATACCCACATATGCACATGGGGCACACCTAGCCTGTGGGGGCATTCCCCCCAACCCAGCACAAGGGGGCCCCACCCTTCCCAGCTGGGGAGTGGGAGGGGAAACACAGCAGGCCTGAAGGCAGACCCAGCCTAGGTTGGGGAGGATGGTCCCTGAGATGAAAGGTGGGAGGATCAGAGCCAGCTTTTCCCCCAGCTAAAAGGCCTTCTTCCTGGGCCCCACCTGCAGGGAGCCCACGACAGCCACTGTGCCCCATGTGTGTCTGGGGGCATCATGGGGAGGCAGAGCCAAGCCTAGCCTCCTTCGGCCTCGGTCCTTGCAGCCGGAGAAGCCAGTGGGGACCCTGAGGGGAGGCCAGGCAGCTGGAGCCCATCAAGGACTGCTGAGGGTGGTGCTGGAAGAGGCAAGGGGTTCCACTACAACTCCCAGCAGACTCAGCTGCTCACTTAAGGAGCAGGGATTTGTACCACCAAAGTCACCATGGGACTGTAAGCCTCTTGCAGGCAGGGGCTGTATTGCATTCATCTTAGTCTTCCCAAAGACTAAGAGCGGGACTACGGCCAAAATCAGGCCTGGCCCTCAGAGAACAGGACCCCACGTTTCTGTCCTGCCCCCTGGTGGCAGTTTGTTGTATTGCAACTCACAGGATCTAACAAGGGGGTGCCGTTCTGACAGCGGCTGAGCTCAGCCCCCTGGACACCCCCATC